GGGGATTTGTAAATTTGGGGAGCTAGGAATTTGGGGATTTGGAGATTTGTAAATTTGGGGAACTAGGAATTTGGGGATTTGGAGATTTGGGAATTTTTGGAATTTTGGGATTTGGGAATTTGGAAATATAGAGATTTGAGGATCAAGGGATTTGGAGATCTAGGGACTTGGGAATGTAGGGATTTAGGAATTTGAAAATTTGTGTGATTTGGGAATTTGATGAATTAGAGGAATTTGGGAAATTGGGGATTTAAGAGTTTAGGGCTTTGAGAATTTATGAATTTAAGAATTTGGAAATTTATAGATTTGTAGATTTGCAAATTAATTAATTTTTGTCCCCGAAAACTGTATACACGATATTCTACTCTATCAACTCTTTCGCTTATACCCAAAAAATTGCATAAAATATTTTCGAGTTATTTTTTCATGCATCCCCTTTTGGATTGTTACGGTGATCTCGGAATATCATAAGTTCAGGGCTGATTTTCTTCCTTCCCTTACCGAAATCCGGGCGTATCGGTTCTCCGCGAATAACTTTGTTTAGCTTACTTGGCTCAACGTGCTTTTTTTCTGCAATCGGTAGGAAACCTGTTCGTACGAGCAACGGAATGTCTGAGTGGCTGCCGTCCTCCTCTCATCTCCGTGCAATTCCACGCGTAGTAGAACGAACGTGTCGACCAGGTGAGATCGTTCATTCTCTGCAAGGGACATTTTTGTACGAAGCTCGGTGCTGGACGGCGGGCTGCTGGTTGGGGCTGCGGAAAAAACGGGCGGTGGAAAACGGAAGGGCGGGACGAACAGTAGAAAGTATATTATAAAATAAAGGGGAACGAGAACACGTTTCTCGAAACATTAGATCGGTGCATATTAAAAATCTGACGTCATACGATTTTTGCTTCAACTCGAAATTTTTGCATTTTTAGTTTGTCTTATTTGCAAGTTTTTTAGTTATAATTATTCTTATTTCTAAATCTTTATGTTTGCAATTAGTCACATTTATAAATTTCTAGGTTTATAATTTTCTACATTTAGAATTACCCTCATTCCCATATTTCTACGTTTGCAATTATTCTCATTCCCAAATCTCTACGTTGAGAATTACCCTCATTCCCATATTTCTACGTTTGCAGTTACTCTCATCTCCAAATTATTGGCAATAACCAGTAACCATATAGAGATGATCTAACTCATCTCTGTCTCACGTGGAGATCCAAGGGTTAACCTAACACGTGTTGTGCAACACATCTCTGACATGGCGATATAACGCGAGGAACGCAAAGAGTATCGATTCAATGCATACCCATAACGCACGGATCCTCCTCAGAGTAACAGTAACTAGTAAATCCTAGTCTCTCACATGGCGATATAACGCAAGGAACGCAAAGAGCATCGATTCAACGCATAACCATAACGCATGGATGCTCCTCAGAGTAACAGTAACTAGTAAATCCCAGTTACTTCGATGCTCAATGGATTGCGTGCACAACTGGAGTCTAAAATCGAATTACCATTCGTAATTAAGTATCGCAAGGTAAATGCATAAGATTAGAAAGAACACGAACGAACAAGAGAGACCTAGAGAGAGAGGAGAGCTCGTAGGTGGTTGTGGATGTCGAGAAATGAAGGCCAGCGGCCTTGACCTTGTCCGTGACTTCGTAGTGAATGAGAGGGAAAGAGAGGAAGAGATACAAGAAAAGACATCGGTCAAAACAAAGTGGTCTGCTTTCTTCTTTCGTCTCGTGCGTGGCAGGCAAATCCAGGTAAACGGCCAGTCGATGTTAATGACTAAGTCACTAGGCTCCCTCGGTCAGGGGCTTCTTTGAATTGACCGTACGGATGATGGCTCAGGTAGTAGGCAGGCATGATTTTGCCAACGATTGTGTGCACGCACAGGGCTGCCCAACTCAACTACAAACCAACTTTACGGTAACACGTTTATGGACTGACGGATCGATCGAGTTGTCGGTCGAAATTTTCGTTTCTCGATCCAATTATGTTGCATAGAGCAGACAATTTATTTGCAAAATTATTAGATACTTGTTTTAGGTGTCTGTAGATCTACTTAAATATTCTTAGATAGTCGAACATGTCTCTAAAGCTATTTAGATTTTTGTAGATATTATTGGATAACTCTAGATCTCCCTACACGTGGATAGATATCCCTAGATCTCCATAAGAGTAGTTATATATCCTTAGATCGACCTAGATCTCCTTAGACATCATTAGACATCCCTAGGTTTCATCAGACATCTCTAAATCTGCCTAGATAAATTTAGATGTCCCTAAATGTCCTCAGACATCTCCCTAGATAAATTTAGATATCCCTAGACATCCCCTCAGACAGCCTCAAACCTCCTTATACCCCCCCAAACCTCTTTGTATATCTTAACACAGCCCTACATCTCCTTAGATAGCTGCAAACGTTCCTACATATCCTTAGTATCATAGTATGCCACTAGAAACCTCTAAATATCCCTAGCACATATTACTGATACAAGGGCCCAAATATCTATATATATCCATAGATGTACCTACATATCCCTAGATCACAATATCTGTACACCCTTATGTCTTATGTCTTATATCCCTTTATCTAGCTCTTTATAAAATCCTAGTATCACAATTTTTATACATTAACTTGTCCACAATAATTGATTTATAAATCAGTCACTAAGAAGTAATCTTAATGTGGCATTGTTTTCATCTTTTCAGCATTGAGTCATCTTTTGTATTTCTCTAGATATAATTCTAGATAAAATTTCAAACGAGCTTCGAAAATCTAAGACGATTACATTTTGTTTGAGTAGTGACAAAGAATTAGGTATAATGCATCTAAGTCGTTACGCGGGTTTTATTGAATTATGCGTCACTCGTGAGAACGGTAGACATTGACCGTGTTAGTAAGAGCTTTGGCATTATCTTGGGCCAGGGAAAGATGTATTTTTAACATTCCCCGTCCGTTTTAGAAGCTTGTTGTTAGATCGAATTAGCAGACTAATGAAGTTTCTGGATTTTCACCTTTGACTTTAACAACTCCTCGAAGGATTTAATAATTTTTGCATCGAAGACAGGAACATTCTGAAGCGATTAGGATCTGCAGTTAGGTACCGTATTATAGATGAGGATTTTCGGACAGATTCATTAGTCAGCGTTAATCGGAGGTAAAGTTTACGGTAAATAACGGAACGTGAGTAATATCCTGATGACACAGTTATTGCTTATATTAGTCATAATTCTTTGTATCGTATCGCCCATTATGGTAAATATATACCTTCCGTATCAATCCATTTCTGAAACAATAGAAGCATCATGGGGTAGATTGCAGATCTAAAACGAAAAACAATTTTTACCAAACTGACTTCTTACGAAGATTAATCCGAACAGAAGATCAGAAAATATTTATGTTTATTTTTAAAAGTCTTTTCAAGGTTTTTACGCAGAAAGGCACATGCCCAGACATCTGTCCAGCATAAAGTCAATATTGCCATTATCGAAAGTAATGTTTCGATATCGTATTTCCTTGCGATTGTATATTTACAATAGCACGTAATTGCACCGTAAATTGTGTCTCGTAACGTATCGGTTAAACTTACCTTAATTGCGGAATCTGGGACTTCGTAATTTTTAAACCTTGAAAAATAATACAACAGAAGCGAGTCTTCAAAATTTTACTGTTTTCGAACGCTGACGTCTCATTACGCTGCATCGTATTATCTCCAAATGTCCGACCACGCGACGTTGGATCAGCACATAGCAACCGCTAATAATGCTAAATAGATAGTAAAAAATAATGGAGGAAAAATTGGTGACAGTAAAAGATAGAGCGTCGATATAGTGATTAATGGTAGAGCGTATGAATGAAAAGTGTCGATGACCAGTTAAGAAAATGACGAAAATTTTCCTGTCGGGGAGGAAAAAAAAAGCGACAGGAAAATCTCGTCTCCTGACCTCGAGGGAGTAGGAGAAGTGAGTGAGGTCGTTCCACGATCGATAACGCGAGTCTCTCGCGAGAAGGTGCGAAAGAACTTGGTCGGGTACCTAACGAAAGGGCCGAAAGAATCGATCTGGTTCTATGAAAAAGAAAGAGATTTTTGATACCTACCGGTTTCTCCTTTGGTTAATGGTCGAATGAACAAGACGAGACTTTGTACACGTATGTTTCTCAGGTAGATTTCTACATAAGGGGGCATATGGTACACGCGTTTATTGTCGTATCGCAAACGGTCGCGTATACGGGGGTGAGTGTACCACCCGCCACTGTCTGTCGTCCGTTTTTCTCTCTCCTCTTTTTTCATTCTCTTCCCTCGTATCGTCCTTCATTTTCGTTCCTCGTCTGCCGAGCGAAACTATTGGTCGCTGCTCTCTGTCGTACTCGTTGCTCGTTCATTCGCATGCCTGCCAACTGCGCCACGCCGAAACTCGTCGAGAAAACCGCGGTGATCATAGCCCTCTCTGCTCTACGTCATTCGTTTAGGCAGTACGTTTCGTCCTTGTTAGATCAGTCGTAGCCATGTTACTTTCTTCTTTGTCACTCTCAGGGAACTCGTAAGATATCGTGGTAATACCGTGCAGTACCGCCGTTAGCTTCGGGCACACAAGGCACTTGCCCTGGGCCCTGCGCTTTGGGGGGCCCCGTGCTTCAATTTTCAAATTCTCTAATTACCGCCTCTTCAAACTCTCGAATTTCTATATTACTAAATTTTCAATCTTCCAAATTTCTAAATTTCCAGCTTTTAAATCTTGGAGGTGTCAAATTTTTTAATCTGAAATTTTCAATTTACTAATATTCGAAATTTACAAGCTCCAAAAATGTCTAAAATTCCTAACTATCAACATTTCTAAAGCTCTAAATTCCTAAATTACTGAATTATCAAATTTCCAACATTGCGAATTCTCAAATTTGTAAATTTTAGAATTTGTGAATTTTTCAATTTTTAAATGTTCTTATGTACAAGTTTAAAAATTCATTACTTTAGCAATTGTCCAAATGATAAATTTACAGTGTTTGAATAACGTGAAGAATAATTTCGGCATTTGTCTCGGTGCCCGGTGAATATTATTGTCGGCCCTGAACACTGTGATACGGTGAGCGTGTGTTGAGTGGCGGTCGTGCAGACAGGTGCGGCCGCTGGAGCCCCACCGTTGGTGGTGGTGTTAGCAGCGCCTCCACGCGGCGACTCATCTTAGTTTCGGGCAAGATGGGCGAACCTCGCCGGGCAGTAGCTTAGACTCTACCTACAAGACAACACATACACTAAATGTTTCCTAACAACAAGTAACAATTAATTGTACATTTATTTTATTTAAGGGAACACAAACTCTATTTTTGTAACATGCTGTATTAGTAGTGCTCCGTGGAATTTGTACGATAGTAAAAAACTGGTGCGTGGCCACGCGCGATACAACGGACGAACACGACGACGGAAAGTATGAAAAGATAGGAGAAGGTTTCGCGATTGTCGGAAGAGCAAGTGCGAACGAGCCAAAAGGAAGAAGAAGAAAGAAAAAAAAAGGGAGACGGTGATCGTGAGGAGGCGCAAGACGAGGATCCGTGGATCAAGAGGACATCGAGACGAAACGAGCAGGACAACGACAAAGGGGACAATCTCGAGGAAGACGGTAGGCGAGGTGGATAAGGACGATCGTACCGCAACAGTGGCCGCCACTGAGGCTGAAAACGACAGCGAAGTAGGTGATAATCTCGCGGTAGTCTCTGTTCGTTGACTCGGCTCGGTGCTGTTAGCCGATTCTCCGCGGTGTGGTGCGTGTTTCGATATACAAAACGAGCTACGACGTGGAGAGAAAAGTGTACGACGACCGATAGCAGTGAAGTGTACGGAGCCGACACACCCTCTTGACACTCCGACATTCGTCTCGTATCGCCATCGGTTTACCTCTCTACCCCCTTCTTTCCTAATCATTTCTCGCTCCTTCGTTCGGCTACATTTACGTAGTACACCGCGTGTACGTTCGGCCACTGCAACGGAAAGCCGCACACCACGTTCCTCTTTCTTTCTTCTTCGCTCTTCCTCCCGTCTCAACCCCTCGTCTCCTTCTCCCCTCTCTATCTCTTTCTTTCCGTGCAAAGTGATTTATCGTTACGCTTGTCGCATCGGATTTCGTCGGTGTTAAAACCATACCGAGCCGGCTATCGCGTCCATAACCATACGTACCGTGCTTCGTCCTAGCTCTACCCTCCCCCGGCAACCCCCCTCAAGCGTCTCACCCACACCTATATCTCTCTTTTTCTGCCTCCGCTCCCGCACCCCGGTTTATCGGCCGATCCGAGTGCAAATTCGTTCGTGACCGTGCTGTGCGAGTTTTGCATCGACGAAAACGCGGGGTGACGCCGCTCTCTTGGCAACGCCAGACCGAAAACCGTCGACGACTACGAACAGAGAGAGGAGGGACACGCTCAGCCGTAGCAATTGAAACGACCACGGCACGGTATCGTTTCGAGCAGGCGCCACGAGCGATAACACCGCTAACATGTCCGTGAGAATGGAAAACGTAGCCGCGCCGAGGAAAATGAACTATAAGATGATGGTGAGTAACGATTGCTTTTCTCCTTTCGATCGCGTCGAACGTGTCTAACGTGTGTAACGTGTAACGTTTCGAGTGTGCGTGTTATACGCGAGAGCGTGTATACACGCTGTTGGAAAACGTAGCATTACCATGGGGACGGCCGATAGCCACGAACCTTGCGGAACCGGCGTAGTTTGACAGTTTGCCGCGGGGCGTCTGCTGCCCCACCCAGTCTCCTCTTTCTCTCCCCCACCTTAACCTCTCTTCGAACGTCTTCGCGTATTCTTTTTTTTTCCTGTTTCTTTATTCTACAGATATTGTGTCCGGGGAGATGAGTATTAAACGATCTCGAATATGTGTGTTCTTCGTTTTATTTTTTTCTCGTGTGTTTTGCCGTTAATGCGTGATTACATCGTGAGCTCCGCGGTTTACTTTGAATGAAGCGGGAATGATGAACTTGAAGGATGAAAGTGTATAATGGACCACTAGTTGCCGCTGCCGGTAACGCGTTAAAGGTATTTATTGAAATAAGTGTATTTTAATTAGGTCGTTTTGTTGCGGTACGTTTGTCTGATGGGCAACTGTGCCCGCGAGAGCGTAATCACGCACGTGCGAATAACGTGCACGCGCGGGTAGTGATGGGAAATTACTTTCTCTGTTCGGAAATTCGAAATCTCAGTATTTTTAAATATCGTAATTTTTCGACTTTCCTGGTTTGGAAATTTAAATCCCAGAAATAGGAAGAATTCGATATCTCTAATTTTGCCCCCTCCTCCCCTCACGATCGTTACATGCACCGATGTCTGATCTTTTTTAATGGGCATTTAATTTGCCCATCAATGGTCTAATGACATCATTTTCAAATTCTCTTATTATCCTTTCAACAATTCAGATTTAAGTGTAATCGATAATGTGAAATGCGAGATAGAAGTTCGATCACATTATTCTCCTCGCTTATCTTTCATTTTGTGACATTCGAGACATTTTATATCTTTTCCAATTTTTAAACAATTCACTTATAGAAAAGTCATAATCATTTCAAGTTATATATACTCGAAGAGAGAGCAGGGTTAAAGACCGGTCGACCAGTACCTTGCTTTGTATTGTTTTAATTATAGATATTGTTATTATTAATTGTCAACTTTAGTCAGGCGCATATCGGATTTAAATAATTAAACCTATGTAGAGTACAGATTAAATTATTTTAAAGCGATAAAAGAAACGATGTTTTTCATTAGCTTTATAACTTCTTTTATCAGATATTCGCGAAAGCAGGTTCTTATTCTCGCGCATACGGTCCTGACATTTCTGCGCAGACTCTCGCCGTCTCTTCCTGTTCTCTGTCTACTTTCAATTGCTATGCTTTTCGTAAAATAATTCTGCATTTCTCCTCACATTTGATTTATTTACAACAAACTCTTTATTTATAACAAGTGTTATATTCCACAAATACATGAACGTTATTTTTTCATTTTCGATCGATTTAAAAACGACTTATTTATAACTGTAAATAAGATATTTACCCAAAATTCCATTTCTATTTTAGCATTTTCCCTTACTGTCACGAGTCAAATTTTTCGTAACTTTGTATCACGAATTCGCCTCAAATATGAAACGTTCGTTCCGTATTTATTTAATGTATCATTTTCGAAATGCGTTCTTCGATATTACATCAAAGTTCTGCGGTTTATTAATGCAATATTTAGTTGCTTGTGAAAGCGACGTGGAGCCACTATCCGGAAGCATTCTTAATCTGCACATTGAAATTCGACCTAACGCTCGCCAGTGTAGCCAACTTCATCGTACGCTTTTAGTGACAATGCAATGACAGTTACGTATTCTTCTTCGTACATAAATATCTTCGAGCCTGATTCCGTGTTATCACACGAAACCTTGTAAAATATGTTACAGAAAATGTAGGGAGGATTCCATCGAACCCGATGAATTTCTTTTTATGTAATGTTTGCGGCGATAAATATCGCTTATGAATGCGAAGTACTGTCTTATCGAGCCTATTAATAATTCAGTGTTTTAAGCTGTCTCTAAGTCTAGTTATTGTTAGTGAAGTCATTAGAAAGGTTATCGCACGGTAAACGTGTTCAAACGGATTGACGTGCAAACAGCTGTTCTTTTCAGTGTTGCCAACGGCAAGTTGTTACTCAAATATCGTATCGATGCAAATGAAGGCAGCAATGTGTGTCAATGTGGGATACACTTTTAATTGATACGAAATTAATATTTCGTGGAATTTTTCATTCAATATATACCAAAGGCTTAAGTTATCGGTAGGAATGATAAATTTGTAGCAAACATTGAAAACACATATGTATTTGTTAGAACATCTGAAACCGTGGATATCATGGTTGAAATTAACAAGTTTTTTTTATTATACGCGTACTTTGAACTCCATAATCTGGAGTGTTTAGTTAACAAATCAAACATTTAATCAAGATAATCAGAACACATTTACGCTCGGCGATCTTTACATCATTTGGTGCACTTTCACGATTAATTTCTTTCTTTTCTTTCTTCATTTGTATGACGACGGTACTTTGAATATACGGAGATAACGAGAGTAGGATTTGTGTTGAGTTTTCAGAAATTGATACGGTTATCATCCACTATCAAATATTTTTGTTTTAGTACGTCAGCAGTCATTACTTACGGTTAGATTATGTGATTTTATCAAATCATATTGCATTTAAATTTAGATTGTTTTATTAGCTCAAGATGGAAAATTGCACGTTCTCGACGCCGTTATTAACGAGCCGCGTGTAATTTATGGATATCGCGTAAAAAGTTGTCGACTAATGCGAGTTAAGTATGAGATTTATAGAGTATATTCGCGTCCCTTATCTCGTCGGTAAGCGGAAAAATGATCAATATGTTATTTAATGTTTCTCAACTAAATACCAAGTGTTTTGTTCGTGGAACAGTTTCCCTACAAAGTAATCGATTGTGCATATCGAAATCGATCGTACACGAAGCGAGATAGAAGTCTTACGAAACTTCGTAATTAACACTTTCGTGACTGGTAATTCCTTGTGATTAAAGCGAAAAGAACAAAAATTTGCTTTTCTAATACACCGTTTCGAGTCATTCGATTGCTCGCAATCGCATCGAATGCCGATTGAAAATATCAACGTAGAAAGTAATGGAAACGTTACGGTAGCCGCGATTATCAATCGAAGATATTTACGCGGGAGGTTACGTAAACCCATAACCTAAAATTTTGAAAGCGACATCCTGTTTCTGCCGGTCGGACACATTAACGTAAGAGGTTACAAATTTCTAACCTAATATCGCAAAGTATACTAAAATACCGTTGTACTGTGTCAACGGTTGCAAACGCGTTAACAAATCATTCGTTCGCGCGCATTGAATCAACGATCCACGACTTCTGATTAGGCTCCCTCCGGAGATAACCGTCGTTCAACGAACACAGTCGAACAGAACAATATTGTTTTGCAATATCGAGACACGCGTTCGATAGCGTACACTCGATAGGATGCCTCGAAATTATTTCACGTTCGAATTCGATTTATATTTTCGAGAGAGGAGGCGCAACGGTTCACGATCTTTTCCTACCACCTTTTCCTGTTGTCGATCGTAAAGTACTAATAATAGATGACCGGTGCTAGGGAGGTTTGAAGGTGATGATCACCGGGTTGTATCACGTTTCAGGATCGACTTTATCGTTGAATGTCACAAGGACTATTAGTAGACGACATTTTAAATTTAACTTAATTGAATAATTCTGAAAGTTTAAGGTTTGGAAATTTCGAGTGTGTATAACATGATTCGACATTTAGACTGTACTCGACGTCACGTGACCAGACATCAGTGCTTCAAAAGTGAAATACGTGCGGTACATCGAAACGTGTATTATCTTAATTTCTTAGATACCTATATTTTAAAAATTACATATTTCTGTAGATTTTAAACATTCTCAGATCGAAATTATCTGTAAGAAATTTGTATGGTTTGAAGTTTAAATATGTTTGGATTGAAAACTTGCAAGATGGAGTTGTAAATATCTATCCGTGTGCGAATGTCAAGGGGAGCGTACCTTCGAGAATACGAACGCGTGTGTATTAGTGTGAATCAACCTTTATTCGCCAGTTGGTCAGTGAACGTCGATTGACGCTGAGAATTCATAACGATAATTGGACCGATTTGTCTCAATCGCGATTAGATATGCGAGTCGATCCGTTGGTAAATCGCGACCACTTCAGACGATCGCAAAGATAGATTGTTTACATCAGACCGCTTAGACTTAGACGTTGTGTTGATTTTTTAGAATACGTTTCCATTTTCGTATTTGCTTGTATTGAAAACATTGCCTTGTTGATCAGTTTGATATCTTGACACGATACCAATATAATTTGCCATTTATCGTTAACATCGATAATATTTTAAAGACCGTTTTGTATGCATTTTGTTACTCTGTATAAATTACGTAAGAAAAGCAGGAAACTTACCGTAATCGATTTTTGAACGCTGGCTTATTTGCATGTCTCGATTCGCGGGGGTTATCTATTATTCCGATAGAAAGAAAGGATAAAGATAAAGGTTTATTCATTAAAAGAGAGAGAAAGAGGGGACGGTCTCGTAGGCGGACAAAAGTTGTATGCAGAAATAATCGTGCAGGAGAGAGAAAGAATCGAAGGTAGGATCGGAAGGACGAAGGGAGAAGAAGGAAGGGCCAGGTTGAGCGAAGAGAATAGAGACGCAGCAAGGATATCGATTATTTGCGGTTGCAGTAACTGCAGGGCTCTTCTTCTCTCCCTTCGTCAACCCGAGGACGAACACCCGGAAATCTCGACGATACAGCGAACTGAGATTAATCTCATTTTTCCCTTCCGGTTTTGAAATACTTCTCAATCGAGTTACGTGAATGAGACGAGTGTCTCGTTTGATCAAGGGGAAAGAAGCCCGATAAAAACATCAGATATATACCTAGTTTATCATTTAAAAAATTCTTCCTTTTCATTTATATAGTAGCAAAGTAAACAATCCTC